TTAATCTGAGTAGGTAAATTACTTAGTTTGCCAATAGAATGAGTATTTCTACTCTAAAAATAAGATATTTAGATAAAATGTACTTGAAATAAGAGAATTTAATTGTGTTTTCTTATTTTAAATCTAAATTTTCTTGTTCTAATGGAAAAATGTGTCTTATCTCCTCAATCCAAGAAACATTCACTTATTTTAACGAAAAAATTACTAGATTTAGATTATTTCCAGTGTGACAGATCGACAACCTTTGAGCAGCAATTATACCAAAAATTGAAAAAATATATAAACATGATGCATTTAAGATAAAAAAAAGCTTTTTTATCTGTCAAATTGTGGTCCACTGTGCAAAAAATGTATATCTAATTAAGTCATTTTTATCTTTAAAAAAGTGTATTTTTCTTGAATTGAGTAGATAATTAGACACTTTGCCAATGAAACAAGACAATTTACACCTAAAATAAGAAAAATCAGTCGCATTGTCTTATTTCAAGTGCATTTTATCTAATGACCTTATTTTAAGAGTAAAAATCCTCATTCCATTGTGAGATCATCGTATTAAACTACTCAGATGAAAGGTAAATACACTTAAGACATTTTTACCTATTTCCAGATCATTTTTCCAGCACGTTAACTGCTATACCATGTCTGACCACCAGGAGGAGATGCTATTATATATTTTTCCTACATAGGAACTAAAGTAGTGGCTCTTTGCTGATCTTTGCTCCTGTTTCTCAGGTGTGTGGGGTGCTGGAGAGTCTGGAGCAGGAGTACCGCAGGGAGGAGGACTGGTGTGCAGGAGGAGAAAGGCAGCCTGAGCAGCTCCTGCCGCTCATTAGCAAACACATGGAGCAAAAGGAGGCGTTCCTCAAGGTGAGCAACACCATACCAAGCAAGATGGAGGGAAATAAAAAGAGAAATAAATGCTAAAAACCAGTTTGACACGTCAGGTTTGGTTAATCTGTATAGAATTACATGAGTTTAAGACAATAAAAGTCATTAAAAGATATTATATACTCTATATAGTTTGTTTTCTATAGTATCTGATTGTGCGCGTGCACAAATAAGGAATAGATGTATTAACTATATGTATAAATGCAACAGGCATGCACGCTGGCACGACGGAACGCCGAGGTTTTCCTCAAGTACATCCATCGAAACAGCGTCACCATGGCCAACATCTCCGGTCACAACGTCACGGTCTCCGCGGTTACGGGGGTCACAGAAGTTACCGGACACTCCAGAGTCCCGGAGCAGCAAGTGAAAGGTTCGCAAAGCCAGAGCGGCGTTTCTACGTCTAAATAAAAAGTGTAACGAGGACAGAGCCCAGAGGGACGCCGGCCGCGGCTGATTGGATTCCGTATTCAGGTGTGATTGTCTGTGCTCAGGTATCCTCAGTGAGCTGCTGCAGAGAGAAAACAGAGTTCTTCATTTCTGGACTTTGAAGAAACGCAGACTGGATCAGTGTCAGCAGTACCTGATGTTCCAGAACCACGCCCAGCAGGTGAGATGACCGGTGCAAACGGGTTTAATCAATGCTTCCTTCTGATTCTTCTGCGGGGGCGTTTCTACCATCACAGGTTTAATTTCACTGTTTTCTACACATATTTTTAAAACTTGTTCAGTAGGTTTTCCTAATGACCGACTCCATTATGCACACATCGTATCTGAGACCTGAGCCAAACTCTCAGAGAAGGCGCCTACACTGCAAAAAATTAACCGGTCCAACAGGAAAACCGCCATGTTGAGCCTGGTTCTTCCAGAGTTTTTCCTCTCCACTGTCGCTTCATGCTTGCTCATTATTTTAATATGCTTGGATTTTATTTTCAGAGTAAAATATTAATTCCATTGTCAAATCATCTTATTAACCTGCTCAAATTAAGGGTAAATCCACTTAATTTAAGAAATGTTTTACTCATTTTTAGATCGTTTTTGCAGTGTAGGAACACATCTGGAAAAACAATCTAGAAATAAGTCAAAATGTCTTAAATTAAGTGTATTTACCCTTAATTTGAGCAGGTAAATGAAATGATCTTCAATTTAATGAGTATTTTTACTCATTTTACACTAATTTTTACACTATTTTTTTACTAAATGATTGAAATAGGACAATGCAATTGTTTTTTCTTATTTCAGATGTAAATTATGTCTCTTTCATCTCCTCAATTCAAGAACAAATGCAGTTATTTTAAGAAAAAAATTACTTATCTAGATTCTGTTTTTTTACAGTGTAGTTTACAAAAGCATAAGACTAGAAGCATTATTATTATTACAACAAGTATTTAAAACCCCCTTTTTTCATTTCTTTAACTTTTCTAATGATCTAAAGACAAAAAGGAAACCTGATGATGTTTTTATTTCCAGGCTCTTGAATGGCTGCAGCAGTCAGGTGACCACTACCTGGCCACGCACACCTCAGCGGGAGCCTCCGTGGCCGAAACGCAGGAGCTGCTCAACCAACACAGAGAGTTCTGCATTTCTGCAAAGGTTTAACTTTTA